ACAACCTCCCCCCAACTGTGTTATCCCAACAATGCTCCTGATAGTGCCCCGCAAATGTATAGGTTTTCAAGCTTGCAGCCTTTGGGTGCTTTCTCACAAGTAATCAAAATTAAATTACAATATTTCGATTCACAAAAATGTCTAGTGTTTGTAGTATTATCTATTTCATTTCTTATTTTTTATTTACATTCCAATAGTACCTGGGGACCCAGCTGGGACCGGGGACTATGTTGTGTCAGGCAACAGAAACACCATCAGAGAGAGTCCCTGTCCCGAAGAACCTTCAGTCTAAATAGACAAACCAAACAAAGGGTGAATTCCATTGTGAATTCCTGAGTCCCAGTCAAGTACCTTGACCACAAATCAGCCTTCCTTCCTTGCCACATCTCCATCTCAGAGCCTGAAAACTATTTGGTGCATTTTAATGATGTTATTAAAATAACAAGAACACCTCACACAAAATACTCACACCTACCTCATGTCTCTCATTTATTTCTCTATATGGTGGATTTCAATCGATTATTTATTTATTAGACTTTGAAGAATAAATGCAAACAAATATCTAAACGGTAGTTATGAGTGACTTGGCACCACTGGGTTTATTTTGTGTCTTCTCATCTTTTATCCTTCACATGTTGGAACTGTTTAACTTCACCCTCCAGGAACCTCTCAAATCCCAATGCATGTGCTTTAGGACTCCGAGAAGTCCTCTGAGTTAACTCTGAGCCAGACCCTGCCTAAACCTGATTAGTCATCCCTGATTCAGAGACTGTGATGAGTTGTCCCCAGATAGGTACTTGGATGATTCTATGATCAGGTCTACACTAAACCTGGAAGGTCAGTGTAAGGTACGCTACTCCAGCTACGTAGAATACATAGCTGGAGTGGGCTTACCTTAAGTCGAGGTAAGCCCACTCCAGTGATGGCTGAGTCCACACAGTAGGAGGCCAACGGGAGCTGACATTCCTGTTGGCTTCCCTTACTCCTCGCGACTGTGAGCAGTATAGGCACCCGCTGCAGCTGCCCTCAGCATTCAATTCACAGGTCTATACTAGAGCTGCTAAATCAAACACCAAAAGATCGATCTCCAGAACGTCGATCTGCGGGTAAGTATAGACATGGTCTAACAGTCTGAGCAGACTAAAGAGACTGCTTCCCTTATGTGAGCCTATATACCTGCCTTGGGATCACCTGGATGGTTCCTCGCCTATGAGTGGGCTGAACTCTGGTTGAATAGCATGAGCGGATCACAAAATCTGCAGTGGCTGCCTCAGACGACTCACCACATTCTCTAGCTTAAAGGTTGACTAATCAGGCTTAAGCAAGTCAGAGATGACTCAGGGACATCTTGTAGATCTCATGAAGAAGATTCAAATTATGTATCTTCTTCAATAGCTTGGCTCCCTTTCAGTCCTTGCTTTTAAGTCACTGGCTGATATGGTTCATCCTCTTCTCAGTTGGATCATCTTCTGATTCATCAAGCATGGAATATTTGCTGTGCTCTAAGGTGAGAGGCTCCATATAGATTATCTTTCTTGATTTGTTTGTTACCACAATTTAACCTTGGTTTCTTATCTGTCTCATTCAAGGACTCAACAACCCCCAGAGTGCTTTGATCAACCCACTTCTGCTACTTTCCACTTTCCCCTTCTCAGGGTGCATCTACACTGCAGCTTTTTTCCAGAAAAACAGCCGTTTTTCCGAAAAACAATACTTTTGTCCATACTGCTATTGAGTTCTTTTGACAGAAAGTTGAAAGAACAGAGGGGGTTTTTCAATGGCGGTAAACTTCATTCTATGAGAAAGAAGCCTTTTTCCGAAAAATACTTTTTTTGGAAAAAGGAGTATGTGGACGCAGAAGAGGGAGTTCTTTTGAAAGAAGAGACCTTCAGGAAATAACACTGGTGCCCCGGTGGCCACTCCGTCCAGACCAATCACAACTTAAATGTGAGATAGCATCCAATAAATGTGGATGTTTTCTTTTGAAAAAGCACGTTGCTTTTTCATTGTGCTTTTGCTGTGTGGACGGTCTCTTTCAAAATAAGCTTTTCTGGAAGATCTCTTCCGAAAAGCTTCTTCCAAAAGAAGCTTGCAGTCTAGACATAGCCTTTGTGTGCATGTATTTAAAGCCCTCCTGCATTTCGTAATGCCCCATCAATATGTGGGATTGAACATGGGACTTTAGGGCTAAAACTACGAGCCTCACGAGCCCAAAGCCTCTTAGTTAAAGCTGAAGAGCAGACTTTGCCCTCCTTCTCAATGGCCTCACCAAAAACCTTGACCATTCTACTGTCCAGGACCAACACTCATTGGCAATAATATGAAGCCTTTCCATTATCATCAGTGGGCATTTGATCAGGCCCTTCACACCCCTCCTTTATGCTCAGTCCTACTACACTTTCATTTTTAAACTACTGTACTTCAGATACTCCCTTGTTTGGGCTGATTA